GAATTCAGTACAGACCTTGAGTTGAAAACATTGGCTTAGCTTCTGATGGGTGCTGTACCTGACAATGTCCAGACCACACTGAAGGCACCAATTGTCCTCATAGGCTCCATGCAGCACAAAACAAAACTACTGTTTTAAAAAGTTTGTATCTCTTCATTACATTTTCCAATCTGACCAAAACTGTTCAAATGTTTCTTACCTCGACACAGCTGGACAAACAGCATGAAGTGTGTGAGATATTGCATTTCTGAAAGACATAATAATGGTCGGACGCAGTCTTAAAAAATGGCATTAAAACATGTTTGACTGCAGCCATATGCTAGGTTGTTTATGTAAGGCATGAATGTGGGGCAATATTAATGCTGGTAAACCGAGTTCCCTGAGAACTACACACAATGGGGACTTTCTTAATTTCTGCATTCACATCGCCACAGTACCTACTCTGCAGCAGGAGCTAAAAAGTTCCTCTAAATGGGGTCTAGGAACTAAAACAGTTGATAGTTTGATGCGGTGCATTGTGGAATAAATAAAAAAAAGGGGGAGAGTTCCAACGGTTCCTAGAACTATGAAAAAGTTCCTGCGATCTGAAAACTCCTTCCAACGTTTTGACATCAGTGCTATGTGTCAGTGATATGTGCATGATTGTGTTTTCACATGCACACAAAAGATGACAAACAAACTGCAGTGTTTGAAATCATTTGTCCACATCGTTTTTCAAGCTCAAAATCAGTATGACTCTTATTAGTCACATAATTGTTGATGAGACTTTAAAGCAAAGCAGCAGTGTGATCTATGAGCCAACAAACCTGTTTTGATTTACACAGCGCCCCACAAACACCATTACTCTTCCTTTAAACTGTGGGGGCTCTGACACTGTGAAACACATATCAGCACCTTGTAGTGGTGTTTACATCTGTGCTCATCATAAGACACTAAACAGGCACATCCTCTCCATCTTCCAAAACGTTCATCATAATTCATCTCAGTTTCACAACCACATGTTTTTCATGCTTTCTCCCCATGTCTGTGTTTCATCTCCCTGGTTGATGTATTTTTGGTATAAATTAAAAATGAGAAAAGGGGTGCATTGGCCTGATCATTTTTGATGTCAAGGGTTAATCACCCTAAGACGATACCAATGATAAAAGTGAGTTTTCAGAAGAGATATTGAAAAGGACACTAAGTTTGACTGTAGCTGACACCTCAGCAGTGAGCTCCACAGGTGTGGGGATCGAACAGCAAAGTCTCGGTCACCCTTTGTGACCAGTGAGAGTTGGGAACTGGAAGTAGGGCCGTGCAGGAGGATCTCAGGCAGCAGGGAGTTTCCAGATCACAGAGTTAGGGTAGGGCCTGTCAATTTAAGTCTTTAAAAACAAGCAATACAATCTTAAAATCAATTCTAAAACCATGCGTGCATTATTATACACATGTTATTCAAAAGTTTGACAAATGTATTTCACTTTTTGTTTTGGGCCAAAGTTCAGTGTTTATCAGAATCAGAATCAGAGTTTATTGCCAAGTACATTTACACATACAAGGAATTTGACTTGGTGTATTGGTGCTAAACAATTAACAGGGAAATAAAGCAGAACTAGAAACAACTTAAATAATACAGTACAAGAAGCTATAACAAAAAAAAAAAATAGAATTAAAAAAAATATATATATATATAAAACACAAAATGTACAAAAGGTGCAATGTAGGAGCTGTGCAGTGAACTATGAGAAAAAAAAATCTTAGTGTGTGTAACTACTCACAGAGTGAGAAAAACACAAGAAACAAATGCTCAGACAGGCAGGACAGGTAGTACTACAAATAAAAGCTGTATGATTGTAAAGAACAGCTGTGTTGTGTATCTGTATCACAAATTAGCTTCCTTGATGACCAAAAAGTTACTTTAGTGTGAATGTACTGACACCTCTCCACCACTTGGGGGCTCCCTGATTTTTTTTCAATGTAATAATCAGATTCCACCACAGCAGGGAACTGGGTGTTAAGGACTTCAGTAAGGGTTTTAACCTCCAGGATTATATCTTCATGTTTAAATATTAAATGATTCTGCAAAAATGAGTTGAGTCTTTCAGGTTTCATTAACGGACTTCACTCAGATAGATCAAACTGACACCTGTAGGAAGTGATCATGGAGAGACAGGCAGAGCGAAGCAATGAAGCAGGCTCATAAAGCTGCTGGAGTAATTAAGATTAGAGCTGTTTTCACTGGTTTTGTCAGGCACCAGACACCCAGGCTGGCTCGAGAGAGAGAGAGGCCGGATGAGGAGGACGGGAGAGAGACGCTTGGCTAATCTCTGGTATCATGCCCATGGGCAGAGGGAAACAATGGGGGAGAAAAGTGTGATGAGGAGGGGTAACACAGGGATGATTAGGGTGAGGGGAACATGTGAGCAGGCAGTGAGAGTTTGAGTAGAGGGTGAGGGGTCCGAGGTCAGGTTTGAGGTTGTGTTGACAGGAGATGTGGAAACGTCTGTAAAGCTTCACAGACCGAATGAAAACATGAGACTGTATTGTTTCTGTAATATTAGATCTACAGTCTCATATGGCAATCAGTCTCAATCACTTAAAGAGCTCCGCCCTCTGGCATTTACTGACAATCACCATTAAACTCATAATCGCCGATAATTGTCAGCAGTGATCCTTTCGCTACGCAAAGCCAATTATTATCATAAGCAATGAGGTTTTTATAAGGCTGTTTTTGTGTCATCATGGGGGTCAAACACGTCAAATAAACACAAACATACAGCCCGCGGCGGCCATGTTGGCACGGCTCAGTTAACATGCTCAGTGTACATTGGTTCAAACATACATGTGATTTAATTAAGATTTATTCAGACTTCTTCTCTCTTGCAGTAATTAAATCACACGATGTGGGTGGTCAAAAGTTGTTTTTTGTATCTTTTACAGTAACCTTTGTCTCGGTGATATTATGTATGTTTGTATATTTATTTGTTCATTTCGGGACACATGCATTGAACATTGAATTCATGTGTAAAATTCAAAGTATATGCCATGCATACAGGTTTCTAGCCGTGGCTATTTTGCATCCCCTGTCCCTGGCTAGAGGCTTTTAGTTTAAAGGCATTGTGACACAGGAGGTTGACAAAGTTGTCCATTTAACACATTATTTTTCAATCAAGAGCTCCTGTTGTCCACAATATCACACTGAGCTGACTTACCCTGCATGATAGATCTGCTCCTATCTGTGTGTGAGTGTGTCCGAATGGGCACAAGATGCTAAATTTAAAAACCGGGCCCAAGTCCACATGGTCAGGATGCACTGGGTACTTCCTAAAGTAGAAGTGCATACTTGGTGTTACAGTAATTACGAGGTGTATCGCAGTGATCAAACCCAAGTAGTAATCTAGCCTAATTGCATTATGTAGAAACAGCTGCACTTTCTAAACATCGACATATATTGACATTTAACGGGAGCGGCATAGTAAGAGCTCTTTTCTGTGTGTGTGTTAGTGTGTGTGTGTGTGTGTGTGTGTGTGTGTGTGTGTGTGTCACAGAGAACTGTGCAGGAGGGGCAGAGCGAGCAGCTACTGCACATGGCATAAAACTCTCAGCTCGTGTGTGTGAATCTGAGATCAGCACAGCATTTACTTGAGAGGACCTGCAGCTGGACGCTGATTAAGGCCGAACACGATGAAAATCATCTGATTCCAGTCACCAGCAGGGCAATCGGCGCACCTCTAGATTTAAGCAGCCAGTCCACAGGGAAAGTTCCTGCATTGGAAACACTGCTTAAAATGCTCACAGTGACTTTGATAACATGGTGATGTTACGCTTATTACTGTTATCATCCTAGTTTGGCTGTTAACACGCTTACACTTGCTAATAACCATTAAAACATCAACCATCAAAAAAAGTAGTCTGCAGATATTTGGTAAAAAGCCAGAAAGTTTTCAAATTTTGACTTGGTTAAAAAAACAGGCGATGATAGTTACCTCATTTAGGAACTTACCTCAAAAACAAAGTTCAAACAAATATAACTCATAACGATATATAAATATATCTCATTACTAATCCAACATCTGCAGCCTCACTCATACACACTTAACACTGTACATGCTCTTTATAAATGCCACAAATACCCTGAATTCTAAGCCGGAAACAAGTAGAACCAGAACACAGCAGTGTCTTTGTTAGAGATTTAGGGAGATTTACGTTGCTTACTTTGGCCTCTACAAAAGTTAGTGTGTGTGTGCATGTGTGTGTGTGTGTGTGTGTGCGTGTAGGTGTGTGTGACTCTGACTGCTTGTTCCTGGAGGCCTCTGTTGTGCCTGAACAAGCTTACACCTCAGCTAAACGATTATGTGGGCTTATATTAACGCCTGTGGAAGTGTGTCAAAGGGTCTCTGTCGGCCCCTTGTGCCACTTTAGTCCCATATCGAAATGCATTGTTCAACGTTTGCAAAGTGAGAGAGTCATTCTTGCACTACAGTGATCAGCAAACTAAGTGGAATTGGTATATATTTCTATATACTGTACGACATGCATTCCTGTGGTTTCTCACTCAAACTGCAGCCTGTATCATGACCCCTCGTTCTCACTGAAACCGCGTTCTGATAAAATGATGCCAAACTGGAAGCTGCACGTGTGACTTTGACCTTCAAAATACGGTTTGAGTAAAGGTTTTATTCCACAGAAATACCCAACTCCTCACATCAAGATGGAATCACAAAACGAAGTTGGTTGGGAAGAAAAGTCCTGCTGATTTTGAGTATTTGTGATTACAGTTAATGCAGGTATGTGAGTGAGAGAGTGAGATTTGTATTAAATCTCCTCTGATAATCTTTAACCAGCTCTAAAGACAAATGACCTGGAACTGCACAGTTTCACCTTGACATACAGGGCGGATTGAGAAGCCAGCTGAAAGTGGTACTCTGTGTGTGTGTGTGTGTGTGTGTGTTTTCTGTGTGTATGTGTAACACTGATTAGCAGTTAATGCCGCGTTTGGGGCATTGAGTCACAAACCTTTCTGAAGTAAACCGGTCCAGTCTTTCAGCCTCTCCACATCATGGCACTCATGGATTTTCAGACTTTGGCTTTTTCCTCCAACAATCATCCATCCAGCAGACATGTAACCGTGCATCTTGAATGCTGTTTTCGTATCTACTAGGTCACAATCTATTTCTGATAGTTGTGTTGCAGCGCGAAGGTTACATCTTTAAACAGTGACGAGGGAAAGTGTTCGAGGTCATGGGGAAGTTGGAGAGCGTCTGTTGGATTGTTGTGGAGTTTTCCTGCAGGATTCTCGGTGTTTCTACAGCAACAGGTAGGAAATAAGCACAAACAAAAACAAAAGAATGCAAAAATTAAAATAAAATCTGCATCACAAATTGTTTCAGCATGAGTGGGATTTGGTTTAATGGATAAACAGGCAGATGCAGAACAGACTCCCTCTGTTAAGTTCTGCAGACAGAGAATAAAACAAATCCAAAAAATACCAAACAGGACTTGAAATTCAACTTAAGTTTTGGAAGGAGTTTTATTTATGAACTAAACTGTTATGAAGTGTTGCAACCTGTTGTTTTAAAGCTGATTTATGCCTCTTTGTCTGTGATGAATTAGCTTTTGTCACCCGGGATCTGTAATTTTTTTAAGCTGTCATGCAGGGGAAGGGTTATCCAGCTGGTCTTTTTTTAAATACTTCACAAACCCAAGATGTTGAAAGGTCAGATTATGATGCGTGCCAACTGTATATCCGACCTGGAAGAACATAAAATCATATCTTTTCTGATAAATAATATATATCATAAGCATTACCTCGCCAGTGTTGTCCCTCCTCCTGTCTTTTCCTTGCGCACACAGGGACACATCGCACGCAGCTCTCTTCTCCACATTAAATCACAACTGGGGGGGATTACTCTCTTGTTGTAGCCTGTTTTTAAAAAATATGGGACCCCCCCCCCTCCACTTTAATTCAAACAGCTGCAGACACTGAACATTTACCCAGAGACATGTGCCTCACATCACATCAAAACCGAGTCTGTGCATCCAGCTGGGTTGCTGAGCTTATGTGAGCACAAGCTGTGGTACGTTCACACTTACAGGAGCTTTAAGTGCATTGTGTTCTATACATGTGTGTGTGTGTGTGTGTGTTTATGGGATGTCTACGTGTGCGTCTGTCTGCATGTCTGCGTCGGCCTGTCTGCCTCTGTGTGTGTTCTGCACACAGACCAACATGCTGCGAGGCACGAGCATGTATATGTTAAGATCCAGCCGGTCTATATGCAGCGTTAATTCCTCTCACACTCCATAAACTACCAGAAACCTTTAACCTACACTCTCCTTGATTTCCCTCTGGTCTAGATTTTTATCTTTGAGCTTCTTCTAAGCAGGACAGAAAAATGGCTTCCATGTGTTTAAGTGGCAATCACCACTTCACCATGTTTACCTCTTTTATACATCACAGGTTAATAAAACAGGCTTTTCTTTACATTTGTGAGACTTTGTTGTCATCTCTTTTTCTATTGTTCCATCCGGGGTTACATGTGTGCTATCAGCACTTACTTTAAATCTGCCTACCGTCCTACTTTCTAGTAGCAGCTTGTTTGCTTAGCTTAAAAACTAAAAAAATAGAGAAGATGAGCTCGACTGGATCTGTCCGACATCATACAAGACGACGATTTTTCAGTGATATTTATGGTCTTGGTCTTGTCCTGGTCTCGCCCTGCCTTTCTCTTGGTCTTAACTCCGTCTCGATCCCTAAATGTCTCGGCCTTGTCTCAGTCTCGGGGCCCTCCCGTCTTGGTTATGTCTTGGTCTGGGTTAGTCCGATCTTGACACTAACTCTCGCTGAAAATGCTGATTGTCCAGAAGCAGAAAGGTCACCTCTTTCTGATGACCTGAATTGAATTTTTAGTTCAATTGATTTATGATTGCTGTCGTGGTATGGAACGTTTTAACTAATATAAAAATGCTTGTTGATTTAATGTAACCACTAGCTTTAATTGAATAAAACCACTTAATACATCTCTGTCATTTGTCCTGTCTTCACCCATCACTGAGTGGTCAGAGGTGAAGGGCAGAAGGGATTCAGTAAATGCAGATCTTGTAGAAAAACATGAATAAATCAGTGTGTCCTCTTTGCAGCTGTGCAGCTCTGTGCCTTCATTACATAAAATACATTAAGATAAAAGAATAAAAACAATATTGTCCTGTGTGATTAATTAAGTCTAAAGGAAGCTCTACCAATAAACCTTGACGTCAAGTGACCTCTTCATCCATAAACTACTAAGGCTTCTAAAAAGGAAATGTTTCTGCTCTGGAAGTTAGAAATAGAAAGTATTTTCTGTTGGGCTGGACAAAAATCATATTTCAATATTTTTTTTTAGCTACATGATGATACACGACATACATGGCAGAATTTTCTTTCTTTGAAAGGAAGAACAAAAACAAAGTCACTTCTAATGCCAAATGTCACACAGGCACTTTTGTAAACAGCCTGCTGCACAATGTCACCATGGTAATGAAAAATGACTTGAAAATACACTCCCTGTAAAATAAAATAAGATAAAATGATTTTTAAATAATGTCACAGAGCTTTGTATTTTGTTATTTAGGCGGTTTTTGACTTTCACTCAGACATTGAGAGTTGAAATAGGTGATCTTGCGGCTCTACTGAAGAAACATATGACGTTATTTTACAGCAACATAAACTATATCGATATAAATAATATTGTCTTACCTTATATCTTGTTTGGAAATATATTGATATATTGTAAAAACTTGATATATTTCCCAGCCCTATTTTATTGTATTATACAAAGTACAATAAAGTTAAGATGTGCTACCTCTTTAGTGCACGACGTTCAGGCATCCTCGTTCACACATCAAGACATGCTTTCAATTAACAAAGGTATATTTGGCCATTTTGCCTTCTTTGGATAGGAGAGCTGAAGAGAGACAGGAAAGAGATGCAGCGATGGGCCGAGGTCGGATTCAAACCCACGGCTGCTGTGATGAGGACTATAGCCTCTGTACGGTGGGTGTGTGACATAACGGCTAGGCTATCCAGCACCCCAGCTTTCAAGTAATAAAAAGATGTAGATATTGCACAGCTTAAAACACAGTGCATAGCAGATCAGAGTATATTGAGTAACATGCAGACATATAAACTGTATATTGTGCTGAATGAAAAGATACTTCACTGTGTGTGTCTGTGTGTGTTGGTGATGTGGGGTCTGTGATTTGTTACATGTCCACTTAATTAATTTTACCAGCCTGCCAGCAGTGATACCATAATTACATACATGAGAAAGCCATTACTAAAATGTTGTAAAGATGATGGAAACAATTACAGCCATTAAAGTGTTCCTCTGACATCTTCATATAGCGTGTGTCACCAGTTCAGTACTCTTCCCCGGAGTGTGGGTGACTTCGGGTCAGCTCCAGTCACTTTTTGAAGCATGATGAGAGGACGATGGTTTCCAGCCAGGACTTAAATTAGTCACGCACAACTGCCTCAAACATCAGAGCTACGACCAAAGCAAGAATTTAATAACGACATCCTTTAAAGCAATCAGACCAGGTCACAGGAATAAGATGCAACACAAGATTTTAAAAGGTTAAACTCAATCACCAAAGTTTAGATCAGTGTAACTTCTTCTGGAAATACCTGCCTTCAAATAACATTATAAAAATGAACCAAGTCTGACACCTGGTGGACGATCTGCTCACTGTTCTCTCCCAGAGTAAAGAAAGGTAACTTATTTTGTTTGTTTGTTTGTCAGTGCTGTGTGCTGTAGGAGTGGAAACCCTGCAAGTAGGAGAATTCAGCAGCCTCGGCATCTACTTACTGTAAGTGTGATTATAATCTGACTCTGATTTGAAGTTATGTCTTTAGTCAATGTCTATGAGTCTGAATCTTCATCCTTGGGTAATATTTTTATCTGTGGATTTAAGTGTCTTTTTTTGTTTACTTTTTTTCAGATTTTAATTCCTTGATTCCTAACATTTTATAAAAAGCCACCGTCTTTCATTCATAAAATCTGGTTTGGTATTTAAACAAGGAAGGAAGTAGTACATTTGTTGTGAAGCCTTGATAACCATGGAAACAATAAATTATACCAAACAACTCACTATAGTTAAAAACTAAATGCTCACTATGATGCCATTTAAATCACAAAAAAATAAACCAAGAAAAATACTGAAGTAAAACGTTCCCCTTTAAAGATGCACTCCAGTCTGTGGGAAAAATCCACAAGGGTCCAATGGAAATGTTTCAAACACAAAATGGTGTAATCCAGGTTTTAAAAAAAGGTCCTAAGCAATGCATTTCTAATAATAACAATACTAATTATAATACAAAAAGGAAAATAAAGATATCCAAAAAGAATCAACCTCACTAGTCCTAATATTAAGGCTCTTTAAGTCTGGACTTGAGAGTTCCTCTTAAATGAGCTCAATAGTTACTGTCATCCAAATCACAGATCTCCTTTTCCTTCCCATGTGGAGGAGGACATATCATAAACAGAAGCTTCTCCCAGAGCTCCTCTGGCCTCTTCACCCAGAAAAAAAATCTCCACAAACATTTCTCCCTCTGGCTTTGTTCCCCAGGCGACGCCCCTGCACACCTGTGTCTCCCTGGCTGATGCAGCTCACCTGAACAGTCTGACTGCAAACTAAACATGACATCACACAGACACATGGTTGACATGGACAGAAACAACTGAGCCTTTCTCAAAACACTCCCTACTCCCTCTCCTTACACACTTCCACTCAGTTTGCGTGTCCTGGTGAAAGGCCACATTGACTTCTGTCCCAAACCTCTGAGGGAGGAGTGAGAGTGGGTTGTTAAACCCTAAAATCAAAAATGTTTTCATCATAATCAGGATCTAGTTAACAATTTTCTAGTCTTGAAAACGGTATGTGGTTTTGTTGACTGTGAAGTGTTTTATACGGAGACTAACAGAAACTATAATTATCTTATAAACAGCAGATTGAAACCACAAGATGTTAAACCACCAAATATGTCATTTTTTAAAATTGTATTGTGGAGGCATTTTAAAGAGTCTGCCTTAACTTAAAAACATGGACAGTGTCTGTGGAAGTGAACAGAGTTCAACCCAAAGCTTGCTGCTGTTTTCATCTCCTCCACCTCAACAAATGGTGCTGCATTCAGCTGTGGGTGTGTCACCAGATGTAGTAAACGTCCTGCCCGAGTGTGAATGTGGAGGGAGCAGTTTGAGAAAGGCCCAACAAGTGGGACAAGAAACCCTGCAAGGATTTATTCATAATGAAACCACCTTTATTTCAAAATCATTTGTCGGGGCGCCGGGAGCGTAGTGGTTATAGCGTGCACCCTGTGTATGGAGGCTGTGGTCATCCAGGCTAGCGGCCGGGTTTGAACCCGACCTGTGGCTCCTTTCCCGCATGTCATTCCCCAAACTTTCTCTCGCCCATTGCTGACTCTATTATCCATTGTCCTAGCTCCTAAAAAAAAGTCTATGATAAATAATTTGTTATCGCCTCTCTAAACATTGTGACCATGTCACATTGTTGTATTTCTTCAGTCTTTTTAAAATTGTATTTACTGTTGTGAATTTTGGTCTTGTGGTTATTCTTTTTGGCCCTCTGTACAACATAACCACTAGGATATCCACAACCCTTGTGTTCATAGTCATATACCTTCTGTTTACTCCTATATGAATAGGCAAAATGTATGTAAGGAGCTCAAGGTTTGTACACTTGAGTTGAGTATTACAGACTCTGTTTGGATTTAAATCACAAAAGCATTCCTGACTCCAACCTACTTAAAAGTAAACCCAAGCCACAAACAAACCTCTTTGGATGTGATATGGTAAGGAATGTGTAACGCACTAAAGTAGGAGATGTGAGGAGATGTCTGGAAGGAGTCAGAGAGATGGAGCGAGGTGCAGAGGGCAAAGAGGAGACGACTCCTTCACTCCTTCCTCTTATCATCTCATGAGGCTCACATCCAAACTCCCACAGAGCGACAGGAAAAACATTTCCCAGAGGAGACCCAGAGATGTGTGACTGTTTATTCTGAGAGTTCACACAAATTCAGATGAACGCTACACTCACAAACACACAAAACAGAAACGCACAACTCAGAGATAACTCTCCAGAGAGCGCAGTCCTCTGGTATTTTTTTCTGGATCACCGGATGAGATGGTTGTCAGATTATATAAACGGAGGGGGCATCTACTGCAGCAACAACCGGACAAAGAAAAAACCCTTGAGTTATTTCTATTCTACCCACATTTTTCACATTAAGGGATTTCAACCTTCACCCACAGCCCTTAATAAAATACACAGAAGCTGACATATTTACACAAAGTTACAGAATTTAGAAACAGACTTTATCACTTTCAACTGACTCTGAACTTGTTTCTCCTCCAGCGTGTCGTCTGTTGGCATCATGTTGTTTGAGCTGGCCTATTTCCTGGATACTCTTCTGTTCATGTGTTTGCCGTGAGTACACAACACTCGTCACAACATCTGCAGCATGAGTACATGGAGGGATGTTCACAAACAGAAGCTATAATTGTCGACAAACTGTGAACTTTGTCAGGTGCAAATCAGGTCCCAAACTTTGATCCAAAGATGGATTTGATTTGTATATACAGCCTTTGTAGCCTCTAGTTTTCAAAGTGAATGCAGATGTGCCTTTATTCTGCATTCTTTTTATTGGCCAGCAGGGGGCGCGTCACCACTGGATGCAAAGAGATGCCAATTGTTTAAAACCAGATGAGCAAACGACTCCGCTTCTCAGTAGATTTATCAAGTCAGTAGTCAGTGTTCCTGATGGGTTTATGGACTCTATCACCAGTACAAGTCTTCTTTATACAGAAAGATGTTTAAAAAAAATCAGTTTCATTTAGAGTATAGAGGACAATGCAGGGTGTTCATTAAGGTTTGATACCTGTGATTTAGGAAAGGCTAACTTAGCTGACTAATCAAGATAAGGACATCAAGATGAATATCCACCATGTTGTTCAAAAATGTTCACTTCTGTTTCCAAAAACAACACAAAGGTCACATGTTGACCTTTAAAATGCAGAATTGAGGTTTCGAAGGACGGCTCACAAACCAAATTGTGACAACACGGCAATACAGCCACTTTCTTTTTACAATGACAAACATAAAACTCACGTAGTTTAATCAAAAATTGCATTAAAAAGAGTCTTTTGCTTTTAAATTGCACAAAGGTGTGGGTGAAATATATTTTAATTGAACCCTTGTTTTGTGATTTGGTGAAAGCATTTTTATGAATTCTTGTTTCTCCTCTCCAGCTGTCCTCCAGACTGGCAGATCTTTGTGCTGTGGGGGAAGATGGCTCACGTCGGAGGCTTCCATAAGTTCCTCTACTACTCCATAATGTCAGTGGTCTGTTTCCTGCACCCCGTGCTGGTGTGGCATGCCGTCATCCCAGGTGAAATAATGCCTTCTGGTCCAGTATTGATAACTATACAACAGATAGTTCAAACCAAGTCCAGTGGGGATTCTGGAGTCTGTTGGGCCCCGAGGCAAAAATGTACAAGGGGCCCCTCCAAACAGCGTTCGTCCCATAATCTGACATCAACACAATTCCCCCATATCCATTCAGTCATTTAGTATTATATGAGTGAGTGCTGTCAGATGGGGTCACTTAGGGGGTGTTTCCTACTGTCATTGCAAACTTTGCACCTTTTGAGACACTGCTTTGGTTTAAAGTTTGTCAGCCCTCGGGGCCCCATACTGGCCTGGGGACTATCATGTCAAAATGTCTTCTGTGTAAAAAGGTAAAAAGAGAATAGAAATAAAATAGTGTTTCTGATTGCAGGGACAATGCTTCTGGTGACGGCCTCTTTCAACTTCATTCTGAGCAAGAAAGCGAAGAACAGTGTGCCAAAAGGTCACAGGAGAATCACAGCGACCAAGTCCCGACCACCGTGTGTGTGACGGAGGGAGCAGCCACAGACGCAACCTCTTTCTCATTCTTCCACATGATGACGGGGAGGAAAGGAGGAGAACCTGCTCCCACGACCAGAGACCGCTGCCTCGGCCCGGCAGAGAGAGAAGAGAGCGCGCAGGCCATGCTGGAGCTGCAGCAGACGACGGCACCTAAAGACTCAGACAGAGAGAGGAGGAGGTGGAAGGAGAGGGGACTGGCGTGCTTCAGAGGGAGGGAGGAGCCGGTGGAGAGAGAGATGGAGGAGATGGACGGATACTGTGAGCCAGAGGCAGACACCACCTCAGACACTGCGCCTATGATTTCTGCCTGAACGTTTCTCGGCTTCTTACCAACGTCACATAAAGGAAAGTGTGTGTAATGTCCTCATACCACTCACTGGTGCTACTTCAGGGTGGACTTAAAGCTGAAAAGACATTTATAGAACATTTAACCAGACAAATTAAGACTTTTGATCATTTTTAAATGTGTTGAGAAATAAGGTTCTGTATCCTTTTATGTAATTGCACAACAAAAATATGAAGATTATTAGATTTTGGAAGTTAATTTTCTACTGATTTTTATATTTTTCTACTCCAAAAAGATCTATTTGTACAAAATAATTCAGAAAAATTAAAGCATTTGTGCCTACATGTGCATGCATGTGGTTGCTTTTAGTCAGATTGCCTGTTCTTTTTTTTTTTTTTTAATCCAAAGCCGGCACTGATTGACAAGCAGACAGTGAATGCAGAGGACAATCCAATCTAGTTAGCTGCATGCATTATTCATGAGGTGATAAATTAGATCAACTGTTTCACCCGTTCAGCGTCAGAGGAAATCAAATGTGTGGCTGAGAGAAGTAGGCATTGGAGCTGTGCAGGTGCTTGTGTTAGCCACATTCAAGTCTCCTCTTTTGTGTGTTTGTCGTGTGAGAGCGGTGACCATGGAAACGAAGCTCGGGGAGGAGTGCTCATGTATTATGGTGATGAGAAAAGAAAGATCAGATCACCCACCATAGACCTACGTTTCAAGGGGAAAAGCACATCAAAAATGTAAAATATGCATAAATGATCTATTCATATTGTGCAATTACACATTGATAATGTTTATATGGTGTTTTTTTAAGAGTCCAGCTCTTTAAATCACCTTAAAATTAGCATATTTGTCATAAGAAAAAACCCTGCATTTGCATTTGTTTTTCCTTTTTTTTCATCATGTGACCAAGAAAACACTTCTCCATACAGACAATCCTCTTTTGTTCATGTTGTAAATCAATACTGTTTTCTGTCACACACACACACACACACACACACACACACACACACACACACACACACTGTATTCCTCATTCTTTTGTTCACTGAGCTGCAGATATAAAACTGTATGTAGCCCTAAGAGGCAATCTGTCTGCAGCATCAAAGCTAAAGAGAGAATCGATAGAAGCAGAGAGGCTCATTCATCAGAGGGCACCTCAGTGCGAGCCGGGGTCAGACACACACATAAATAGCCTTAAGGTTAAACAACTGGGTTATTCTCCATATAGTTGACACACATTATACTCCCGGCGATGTGGTGTCGCCGGGAGAGTGAGTCCTCTGGAGTCCTCTGAAGATGTTCTGGTGTTTAATGGGGAGAACAGCGAGTCTTTGTCCACAGTTTTGTTGCTCATTGGGCCATAATCAGGAGCGTATTATCCTCTTCACAAAGATCTCTGGTCGATTAGCACAGTGACCGATTACAAACAAAAGACAGGAAAAGAACGTCAGTTGTTCCAGTCCACTTCCATAAATGTTCATATCCTCATCCTTCAGAATGAGCTGTTCTCTGTGGGGGGAAGTTGTTCAGCTGCTGGGACGACTTACTTCCTCTTTATGCAGGTTGAAAATCATAAATTCTATTCATATAGACAGACGGAGAGAGAGAGAGAGAGAGAGAGAGAGAGAGAGAGACTTCCTACAGTTTGTGTTTCCACCCTACAATAGTTTCCTAGATGGCAGGTCCAGGCTCAAAAACAGGATGGGGGGAGAAATCTTATCAGGTCGAATGGGCTTCTTCCTTTAGCGCTGAGCTGGAAAAAAACAGGATAGGTGCTTGAGAGGAGGCTGTGCTTAAGAAATTAGATTTTATTATCACTGAATATGCTAAATGTGGAGAGTTGAGTATTTAGTATGATAATTACTGTATTTGTTTAAATGGCTTTTACTTAAAACTATTTAAACTATTCAAAAAGCACAAATGGACGAGGATATAAAATAAAGCATCGAATAGAATGAAAACGAAATAATTAAATAAATGAAGTTATCCCCATATTACATACTACTGTAATATATAACTCAAATCAGCCCTCAATATACATTTGAAGTTAGGTTAGTCCTTTACCCTCCTGTCCACAACAGAATAATCAACTATCTATAATTATGATATAAAACCTGAGTGTTTATGACTGTTTGTAGTCACTGAAAGATGTGAAGGGAGACTCAGTGAGGAAGCTCTGGTTCTGTTTTCTGTTTTTCATGCAGGTGGGATTATAAAATGAGATACAACACAAAAGCTGTTTAAAGCACATAATGCAAAAAAAATCAGGTAGTGTACAGAATATAAAAACCTTAGCAGTTAACACAAAAATTCAAGTTAAATCAGCATCGTACTCAATAAGATTAGAGAAATCCTTTAACCACACAGAAAACATCTATTAACTAATGTTTCAAGACGTGACATGGGTGTAGTTTCAGAATATTTTGTTCTCAGCGTGCAGCTGTGCAGGAGGACAATACATTTGAATCTGAATTTTAAAAAAACAACAACCTTGAGATGCATCATCTTATTTTCTTCTTTCTCTCTTTGTGTGTTTTATATCTGCTTTGATTATGTTTAATTATTCCGTAATTCACTCTGTCCCTATCTAGTCCAATGCATTCACTTTTATTGCTATAAATTGTTCACACAGTAATATAAAAATGATAAAATTACATTTCCAAGATACAAAATTGGACGTTTAAGTGCATCCAAAGAAAACAATCCAATGTAACCTTACTTAAGTTTTCCTGCAAATTGTTCTTTAAACTAACAAAGTCTGTTAAACAGGTTTTTCTGAGATGATCATTTTTTTCTTTCTTTGTGTCGTTAAAAGATTTAAAGACCCTTCAGAGGTTTATAAGGATGAGGAGGAGCAGCTCTGAGAGGCACCTTGATCACTCAGGAGGAGAGGGAGAGGTAAATACGACCATGGCTCTGTTCGCCCCGCCCTTCCTCAACGATGATTGGCCGAGACGTATCAGCGCTGATTGCTACTGGATCGTCCTGTTGTCAGTTTTATCTTCCAGCTCTGAATACCGCTCGGCCGGGGAGGCATGAAGACTGGAAGATAAGCGGGATACATCGCTGCTGGATACACGGAAGAAGAGCACGGAGGACGCGCTCTGATATGGTAAGAATCAAACTGAACACATTTAAGAAAGGTTTTTTTTTTTAAGATCAAGAAGGGAAGAACTTAAGCGAGGGAATCATGCGTATTAACACTGAAATCAACACAATGCCTTGGTAACTAGATGCTTGAAGTTGGTTTCTAACGGTGTATGAGTGTTGTGTGTTGAGGGATGTTGATGCAGTTGTGACTGGGTTGTAAACTTTTATTTTTCGTGCAATTTAACCTGCTGTACTCCTCAAAAAAAACACTACACGGTCATTGTGTAGCTGCGATAGAGGTGATAAATCTTCAGGAGAGGGTTTGCTGGTAAATACATTTATCTCATAGTGATTTCTTTCAATATGAAAAATGGGTTGTGCTACATTTGGGATTGTGCGTCAATTGGAGAGAGCACTCCTGCTGCATTTTTACGCATGGGGATGGATTGTCTTTGGGCGCAGCTGCCAGATTAGGTGCGATAATTGGATACGAATCTCGCGATGATCAAACCAATTAGCAGACCAAGAAGCAGTGGAGCTTCTTTGTCCATGGAGGGCGCTTACACTCAGAGGTACAGCCGCAATTTAGTCACAAGAAAGGAGAAGGGAAGAGAGGGGAAGATTATGTAAATGAGCCAAATCTGAGCGCTCCCCCCCTCTTCTATAGAGTGACCCCTATCTTCTCTAAGCCTTTGGTCCATCTCCTGTGCAGCCATGTGCAGGGCTGAATAATTCATAATAATGGTGAGAGACAGGGAATCTTTAAGTAATGGAATATTTATGCAGCCATTATTGTGTATGAATATGTATCAGAGATAGACTGACCATCCCATTATGCGGCCACATTGTCAGCACTTTCCCTGGATGAAAGTGGAGGTGGACACAGGTCATTAAAGGAAGGGAGGGCTACCAATAATTAATGCTATAACACCAGTAATTAATGCAACAATCCTGGAGTTTTTATGTCTGGCTAAAGGTCTAAAGCTAAGTAGCTGTGTGAATGTAATATGTGCAGCTGTGCAAGAAAAATAACCTGAAAGACGAAGTATGAGCGACTTAAAGTCTGCATATTGTGCCCAGTAAATTGCAGCTCATATCTGTGAGATCACTTCCCAGTCAGACTGCTGTGGTCTGCAGCGGGCAGTCCGTGTTTCCTGGTTTTTGTGGCGAGGATGTTTGCTCACGTAAGCATTTTTTTTTTCTTTCAGTAACTTCTTTTTCAGCTGCAGGAAATGCAAAAGAATGGTATGGACTTGAGCTTGTACCACTTTAAAGCCTTCTGACTCATCAAAGCACTTTTTACAACACAGGTCACACCTACACGTTCACACACTGATGGCAGAGGCTGCTATAATATCCATCAATCTATTTTCTGTTTATTGACCAATCCATTCATACACATTCACATGCTGCTGATTTATCAGCAGGAGAAATCTGGGATTCAGTGACTTACCCAAGGTCACTTTGACACGTGCTGCAGGAGCAGGGGATGGAACCCCCGACCTTCTGGTTGAGAGACGACAGACTCTACCGCTCAAAGGCAGCTTTGAATCCCAGTGAAACAAACTCGCCGCAGTTTGAGGAACTTAAGTCAAGATCTTTATGACTGTGTCTGTAGCGGAGTAAAAAAAAAAATGGAGCAGGGGAATTCAATTGGTCACATATGATTACAGTTAAATTCAAAAGGGCTTTATTGGAATGGGAAACATACGCTTGCATTGCTAGAGAAAAAGTGAAAATCAAAAACAAGATTTAGTACAACCACAGAATAACACAAATGAAATTTTAAAGTAACAAAGCTGTGCAGGATTACAGTTTTACAAAAGGTTTATAAATAAAAACAGTGTGTTTGACTTAAAAATATACTGTATGTTGAAAATGTAACTTTGCTCTTTGAATATATACAGATGTGTACGGATAACTTAGGATAAGATGGAAAAAAAACATATTTTTAAAACGTGGAAATAGTTTTAACTTTCTTCCGTTGTTTTCTAGTTTAAACAAAAGTGTATTTACAGCTCTTTGGTCTGTGTTCATGTTCAGTTGTATACAGAGCAGTGCACATGATGGTGCAGTGATACACGGATACTTACTGTATTGTTGATTGCGGTTTTCGAGCTGTTTGTCGCTCTTTGGCGTTCCCAGCAGCTCACATAACGTGCTGCAGTGTTTGCACATCCATTTAGCTCACACAGCAGGTAGACGAGGTCAGTGTTCTTGAAGTTACATTACTTTTTGTGCGTAAGTGTCTATGATGTCCTGGTACAGCGGACAGGTAGTTAAAAGTTGCAGTTCTGTTCAGGTGCAGAGTCTGTCTGTGGCGTCCTCTCTCGATGGCGAGACCGTTCTCACTGAGTCTTAACATCGTCAAACATTTCCTCAGTTTGGGATCAGTCACAGCGCTCAGGTATTCAGCCACTGTGTAATAATTGTATTATTTTAACTGATAAACCTGATTTTTTTAATCACATAATCAAATGATGCCTGCAGCTAAGGGAGATAGTAGTGATGGTACCCACCAGTATTCAGCACGGTGGGGTAAATACATTTATTCAGCTTTTTTCCTGCAGGTGGTGTCAGAGATCATAATCCTTTAAAAGAGTCTCTTCTCTCTGAAGCAGGCTGAGCAGTGCTGCTTGACATTCACAGTTAAAGTTCCTGTAGAGAGTGTTTTGAACAGCAGATGGCAGCATACAGCACCAACAACGTGACTGTAGACGGTTAGAGATATTTTAGATACTGTGCAAACAAATCCTGTGAAACTGTCAGTGACCGTTAGAGAGTTAAAAAAGTGTTCAGGAGTTTTTATTTCCCTTTTGTACTCCTACTGTTTGAGTCTTTGAGTAGATAATGTCAATAAATATATTTGACTTTGTGTTTTATCTTTCAACCACAAAGACAAGATGACCACAGATTTCTTATCACACTGATTAAAGCAATATACTTTAATCTTTAAACTTAACACAACTTAAAAAGTGTATTAATCATTTACTCGTGCACATTTATTTTTGGTTCTAAATTTAGTAAATGGTTTAAAAATACTTTTAATAATCCTGTACTGCATGCTAAAATATTCTGTAGTTAAATCATTATTATTAAAAAAATATTCTTCAAAGTACCAACAAGTACCACATGAAACCTGACACAGTGGTATAGAGTGAGGGCTGCTGTGGAGCGACACACAAAACAAAGTGATACACTTTATGACATTGTTAGCACAAAGATCAATTTACCTGAGTTAAAAACAGAAAAACCAACCGGCTCACTTACTGTAAAGGAAGTCAGTACTAAATGTTCATTACAGTCTGAAAACACAACATTCAAATTGGGCCTCTCCTCCTGGGCTCATTGAAGCGAACGCCCACTGAAGGGTTAGCAGATATGCTGACCTACATTGTAAACTACCTGAGAATATTACATTTGTTGTAATAGAAAATCTGATCATTTAGGAAGGTAGCCACCAGTGCTTGGCACCTGCCTGTCCAACAGTACGCAGGCCAACTCCACGGCCTCAATATGATCTCTTCTTTGCCGCTACATCCGAGTCTGCAATATTTTCCAGTTTGAATGGCATCAAATGGCTGAATGTATTCACTCCAAAACTCATCTGTGCACTGTCATTGGCTGAGAGAAACACATCCCACCCCGCCGCCACAACAAAACGTGAAAATCCAGGCGGTCTTTGTTATTTTTTTGTAACATAAAGACTTATATTTTTGTATATATTTTCAAATGTATCCACTTCAATTTTCCCTCTTATTGAAAACAACATTTAACACCAAGACATACTCAGTTGCCTTTTTTTTCTTGTTCCCAAAACCAATAAAGAAATCGGCAGACGAGCATTCAACTACAAAGCTCCCTCTGACTGGAACGATCTATAAACATCAGAACAATAAATTCACTACACAGTTTTAAGAAGTCACTGCTACCTTTTCTCACAAAACTATGTTGCTGCTTCTAATGGTAACGTCTTCTTACCCCTCTAATACCTTATGTCACTATGTGCATCTACCTCTGATGACTTTGTGTGGGTGCTGTGGCTTTGCGGGAGGGATACGTAGGCGGATGGGTGTTTGAGAGCCTTTATGTTTACGTGTGTACTGACTGTCTGTATCACACTGTACTGTTGTGTTTTTGTTTTTGTGTTGGACCCCCCTCGAAAACGAGATGGTTCATCTCAAGGGACAATCCATCAAATAAACAGAATTTCTCACATGTTATACACTACTTATTTTTTTAGGAAAATGCTTCTGACTCTATCTTTAACTTGCTGAGAGATGCATTGAAATACATCAGATAAAGAAGATAACTTGTCACTAAGAGAGAAAGTAAGGCAATCTTTTATGGACTAATTTGAAAAAAAAAAGAAAATCATAACAGATAACAGAAACATCCTCCTCCTGCTTTTTTGTCTTCTCTTTTTCTAGGAATATGTTCAGATTATATATAAAGATGTACCTGTGCTGAAAACCCCCTGTGTGCTGAAAAGATCCAAAACTATCTGAATTAAAAGTAGTCAGGGTGCCGATGGCTTAGCAGTTAGTCAGCGCACCCTATGTACGGAGGCTATAGCCATGTAGCGGGTTCAAATCTGACCTGTGGCTCCTTTCCTGCATGTCGTTCCTGACTCTCTCTCTTTCTGATTTCTGACTCTTATCTACTGTCCTGTCTCTCTATAAAGGCTTACATGCCCAAATAAGATCGTTAAAATTAATAGTAAAGTATTCATTTGGCAGCAGAATCACCGCGCTTGGTGCTCTATATATTTAAGTTTTTTGTATACCGTGATTGGATACGATCATTTTGATACTGTTATCCATTAAAATGACATTTCATTTGTCATTATTGATAAGAAGTTCTAATAGAACAACTCAGAACAGGTCTAGATTGTTGTGGCTTGTAGAAATCTGCAGAGTAAATAGCTGCCAAATGTCAAATACAAAGTACTAGTTAGATTGTTTTCTAAGGAGGTACCTTTTGCTCGCATACCAGCAGCACATGTCCGTACAGCTGTCAACTGATCCTCATAATAATACAAGATAAATATGTAACCTGAAAGGTCTGCTCTGATTGTAATCCTGATAACAAACCAAATATGGAAAAGTCCCTTGAAGACCTTAACTGACCGTCTTCAAAGAAGCCCTTTGTTAAGCAGTTTACTTTCACTTTCCATTTTACCACCGTGTGCAGTCAAGCTTTCACTGATAAAGGATCACATATCAGTTTTTCAAGAGTCCAAGTCTTTGCCAAAGGCGGTTTAAGGTAAAAAAAAAACAACACACAAAACAGGTTAACACATGCACTGACTGTTAACTTTCCATTACCCAGAATTGATATGTGTGCCCGGGAGAAGCCTCAGTGTGTGTGTGTTTTCTGTCTTTTTTTTCTCTCTCTGTCGTGTCACATGATTTACAAGAAATCTCAGCTGGTGAGTCGGCATCATAAAACACCCGCTTTCACCTCTCCACGCCCTCATCACCAAGGCGATCGACCTTAACTGAGCAACAATGAAAGGCCATAAAAGCATATATAACCTCTGGTATGCAAAGTCAGTTAATTGGTTAAGTTTTACAAAACACATCAAGCTAATTCTTTTACATTAAGTGGCGATCTGCTTAAATGTGAAGACATGCATTTGATAACAGAGCCAATAGTTAGTCACTGTTTTAGCTGTGACATATTTGTTCAGATGTTTTCAGTGAGACTTGTTTGCTCGGTGACCGACGCTGACTCACATCCTGTAGTTTATTAACTAAAGCTGAGGCTGTGGCTTAGATGACCTCTCATATCCTGCCAAGAAATCATGTCTCCCATCCTCTGCTTCTAAAGGGAATCAGGAGTGTTTTACAAGAAATGGCACAAAGAGTCGAAAACTTTTTTTTGTTGTATTTATTAACAAAACAAAGTCTTTATGCATATAAAAATAAATACAAAAACATAGTGTCTTCTGTTAGCTTTGTGTAGACATTACATTGACCATTCAACAGTGTTATAACTGTTAACATTTATGACTAGCCTCCAGGGCTTAGTGTTTAACATCACATCAGTCATTTGCTCAGAGACAATCACTCCCCTGCTCCCTGCACAGAAGGAGACTTTGATTTACACCCCAGAAAGAAAAAAAAAACTTTAGGGGAGCCTGATGCTGGAGCAGAGTGACATTTATAGGAAGAAAAAAGTGGTAGCGTGCTGTTCCTTTTATTGGCCACTGAGGGCCCAGACTCCAAAAGAGTATAGCAACAGTTTGCGTGTGCACACTTCTCTCTTCACAGTAGCTTTGGATCGGGTGTCTGGCGGGTCGACTACTGAGAGTTAGAGGATGAGGATTTCCTGCCAAGACCTCGGCTCCTCTGTCGACTCCTCTGGCTCTGACCTCCTCTTCCTTTTCTTCTCCTCCTCAGGCACAGTTTTGCATCCCTTCCCAAATTCTGAGATCTAGAAAACAAAGAGCGGAACAAACACTTAGCCTGAAGGTAGAGCTGTGGTATGATCCTCCTGCAGCCAGACAAGGATTACTTGTTGATTGAAACAAGTTAAAACACTTGTAAGCCCCTTTGACAAGTTTTACCAAAACTGAGGCCTCTACAGGACCTACAAAAACAAACGAGACCATCAGAGGCGTGATATCTATTTCTATAATTGCAATTTGAAATGCACTGCAGAAGCTGTCTGTCTTGAAATTGTTTCATAGTGTTGTAAATATTCACATGCATGAGTGATGCATTTGATTGACAAAAGAAAAACACACACATCATACAAGAGATAAGATTTAGCTCTTTGACCACAGGAGTGACAAAATCAACACAAAACCAGAGTTACTCACAGGTAAATGGTTAAATATTTGGTTTATGCTAGAAATGGCTCATAAAGCTTTAATATTCTGCACCTAATTACATAAATAGAGTCCGGAAACTTTAAAAAAAAAAAAGGATAATTAACGATGTAACATAAACTGAGCTCCCAGTTTAAAGCACTATAGCTGACGTTGTTTTCTGTTTCAGGAGCAGCAAAAATATTTGGTGGAAAGATAACCGCCCAGTTAGGTGTTTTGTTAGGACAAGAGCTGGCTTGGCAACAGATACGACAATGTTGACTGTATTTACAGGAAATATGAACCCCTCCTAAACCGACAAGGACACTCTACTCCACTATTGTGCAACATTTCTGTAATAAGAATACTGCATTTTGGTGTTTTTCATTTTGTAACCTGAATTTAAAGATTGCATGGTATCCTGAATCTCTTAGGCTTATAAAACCCTTAAAGAACAAAAGTTTTCATGACAAAGTTGCCATACATTCTCTTAATAATATTGTCTACAAGTTAACAATAGTTTAATTGGTAAGTGCTCTTACCTGTTCCAGCAGCGGACCAGCTGTTTGCCAACCGGAGAGTCTGGATTCAGACACCTCGTCTCATTGTTGCTCTTCAGTGTCACTCTGAAAAACACGTGCGACATCACATTAAATCTCACTCAGGTGTGCACGTGTGTTGTTTTAATTGTGTGTGTGTGCGTGTGCGTGCGTGCGTGTGCGTGCAGGATGTGATACTCACATCACTGTGATTCTATTACAGCTGGCGCTCTTCTGGTAGACACTGAGATCTTTCAGCTGCCCCCTGACTCCGTTTTGTGTTTCTGGACACTGACATCTCCCAGGGACGAACGTGCCATCTGACTCTCTCACTGCACGCGCACACACACACACACACAGACACGATAACAGGATTAACAGGTTAATTAGATACAGTGCGACACGAGCAGGGGTTTAGTTACTGCAGGTTCACATGCTCAGACAGCTTTGTAGAAAGAAAAACTTCAATCCCAACCCCTAGAGTATCAAACTTGTACTAATTATTTCATTTCATAGCAGATATTCCCTTTAAAATTAGCTTTATGTATCTATTTGAACTCGTAGTTTTCAGAAAAACAAAAAAGTATTAAAGTGCCTGAAACTTCTCACTGATTATGTGTATCAGCCATCCCCTTTATAAGAATGTATTACAGTAATTACACCTTTTACTTCTTATGTTTCCCTTAATCAGTCATATTTAAGTTGTCTGAGCTGTCTCTTCCCCTCTTATGTTTATGAAGCACTTCTTTGTCCATGATAAAAAACATGTGTAAGAATAATCCATGGGTCTTTACCTGCGATGAGCACACAGCAGAGGCTCAGGAAGGCGAGCGGACACACAGACTGGAGAGACAGCTTCATCCTGGATACGAGCAGAATGTTCACACTGAGCCCCTCAGCATGTGTGCTCCTTTATAGGCCATGCTCCTCCCCCCTCCTCCCACACACTCACGACGGGCTTTCCAAACCAGGAAATTCCCCAGCACTTTCCCTTCAACATTTTAGGACTCAGGAATTTGGGATGCAGGGACCCCATTGCTCTGGACTCTCTTGTCTTGACACCCAGAAGGACACAACAGTGATTAATAGGTTTCCCTTTTCTTTTAGTGTGCTAAATGCAGACAATGGAAACTGACTCTGCAGACTTTTCCTCTGAAATGTTGTCAGAGGCTACACTTGGCTGAGTCATGTTTCTAATAATTTGTATGATGCAAACTATCTACAAGATGACCATCTTAATTGAAGAGTAATCCTTGAATGAAAACAAAAGTTGCCTCTGCTCTTTTTTTTTTCTTTTTTTTTTAAAAGGAAATGAATGATTTGATCCATGGTAAATGGACTGTCTTATTCAGCACTCTTTTAGTCCTCTGACCACTTTAAGAGCTTTTACACTACATGTCACATGAACCCAATCACACACGTCGACATGCAATCTGGAGTTTTAGGGTTCAACGTCTCGCCCAAGGGATAAACATGTGGAAGTGCAGGAAATGGAGATAGAACAGCTAATCTTCAGATTGAAGGACAACCAGCTCCACCACTGAGTCACAAAAATGCTCTCTAATCCGGCTTTAAAATCGAAAGGAACGCTACAACCTGAGTCAGACTATTTTTGAAGTTTTTTTTCTCCGGTGTTCAATTGAATCAAACAATTCTAAGTCAATCAGGATGGATTTTAAGATTATGTTGATTTTGTTTTTAAGGTTTTAAATGGAAATCCACATTCTTATCTTGTTGGTCTCCTAACAGTATCATACTCCAGTTAAAACACTTAGATCGACCAACCAGTTGCTCTTGCGGCTGTGACTCAGTGGTAGAGTCGGTCAACTCTCCACCGTAAAGTAGGGAGTTTGATCCCAAGCTCCTGCACCTACAGGTCCACCTATGTGTCCTTCGGCAAGACACTTAATCTCAAATTGACCTTGCTGCTTCGTCTGCAGTGTGTAAATGTATATGAATGGGATTAGTTATACAGATGGCCAATTTACATAGCATCCTCTGCAGTGTGTAAATGTGGAGGTGGACTTGCGTTGTAAAAGCGCTTTACAAGCTCAAGTCCATTTACCATTTAAAAGTCCTAGATCCAGACTTTTCAAAACAGAGGGGATCAAACCTTCGCTGCTCACTATAGGATATGAAATAGTCCAGCAGCAGTAGTCTTTAACTGTGGTTTGTTTACTATGATTGAATTGAATCCTGCTGTCTGAGAGAGTGTTGGTAGAAAAGCATAGTACTGACAGACGTCTAGATGTTTGTTTAGATCGATAAAATAGTAATAAAAATGACTTTAAAGGCTCTGAGAATAACAATTCTGTCAGTCCCACACTACAGGAGCAGACTCAAAGCAACTCAAATGTTGATTGCAATAATCCATTCATGTTGCCCAAAGGATGATTTTAAGGACCAACCACTTGATAAACTAACAACATTGTCATCAGCATAGAACATAACTTTGCATTTATAAGAACTGCACAGTGGCAAGATCTCTCCTTGATGGTGTTAAATTCAAGACTTCCTACTTTTTATGTCGTCCGGAAATTCTTGTTTATAGTTTTACTGCTGCTCTTACCTGTTTTATTCTTATATTGGACTGCTGCCTTGTTTGTACAGCACTTTGGCCAAAGTGAGTTCTTTAGAAACGTGCTTTATAAAGACGTTTGACTTGATATGATAAAATTTTAATGAACTTCTTAATTTATATTGTTTATGTCTTTTGTCTTATTGCATCTTAGGTGGAATTTCTTTTTAGTTTTAATTTTCCATCTTTATTCCTAACTGGAGCTCTTTGTGCTGCGTGTTGTTAGAAAGGTGAAATATAAATAAAATGGAACTGAGTGTGCGGGGCTTTGCCACAACATGTTACCTCTATCACTCCGCTGGCGCTGTGTCAACAACATCATGTGATTTTCCTGATTTTCCCACAGGAGCAGTTTATTCAACAGCATTCAATCAAATAAATATTTTAGTGCTCAAATTTCACCAGTAATGACATGTTACACCCCCCCTTTTGGGCATAAAGATTTTTATCAATCACTGCTTTTGTTATCGGCTTTTCCGTCTCTTTCTCAAGTTCAAATGAATTTTCTGTCTTGGAATAATGAAATCAACATGTAATACTCATACTAAGTCAATATCTTTATGTTATTTATAATGTTTGTCTCTTTTTTTTTTGCTACAGCTTTGCTTGAGTCAAAATGGATGAGCGTCAGACCCACGTGAAGCTCAGCGAGGAGAAGCTGATACTAAAGTAAGATCTTTAAGTTCACTCACTGCACAGTAAAGTAAAGTCAAAGTGGGGATTACATGTATTAATGTCTTCCTTGTTTGCATTGTGTCAGAACTGTAAGTGCTAATCTTGTCTTTGTGGTTTTGTGTTCACATTCAGGTCTGACATCCTGTCGCTGCTGAGGACCTACAACTGTTACCACGAAGGGAAAAACTTCCAGCTGAGGACTCGGGAGGTAAAACAACGCTCAGACACAGACACCATCACCTGACAGGAGAAGGTTATGGCGGAAATAATAAGAGAAATACAGGGAGAGTGTTTGAGAGGGTGGGTGTGCCAGATTCCAGGACATGCAGCATTGTAAAATGGGTCATACCAAAACTGGAACCAGTTAAACCAACACTTTGACCATACATGCCGTGATCGTGGCTGCAGTGCAGACCTGCCAGTCTTTGGATTTTTTCCAACATGCCAGGAGGCTGGCAGACCACAAAAAGCCCCCTTCTCCCTCAAAATGAAACTGGAATGAAAGGTGGGAGAGACTCCAGTTTTTTCTTTCACACAATAATCGCTTAGTGAAGTAATTCCACAGTAAACGTTTTGCTGCTGTGGTGTGTCTGTGCTGCTGTTTGCAGGAGTTGGATATTTGTTTGATAATCAGTCTGGCTTTATGGTCTGGAGTTCCCCTTTGTGTCCACCAGCACGTTTTTTTGCATTGTGTGTATGTGGTTTGTGTCAGTGAGTGCAGAGCAGGGTGGGTAAGATATGTCCCTGTTTTTTTTTGTCCACTCAGACAGACCCACTACATTGTCTCAGACTGGGAAAATCCTCCCTCAGGGCCGCAGACATGATACAGACACATTAACATACACATGTTGAAAAGACGGATCTGTGAGGTCACACTTCACTCCTTCACACAACATTAACCTTAAATAATGAAGAGCTTGAAAAAAAGTAAAATGTTCCCTTCACTAAATAATTATCTTTGATGAGGAGGAGCCGTTTGTTTTTATGACAGAGAATGACTCAACATGCTGCATTACACTGACCTACTGAAGTTTTAGACGGGACAGATTTGAGCCGTAGATAGTTTTCAGTGTTAAACCGGTTGACCTCAACATTTGTATAAACACAGTGTTGCAGAATTCAGTTGAGTCCCCTCTGCTTCAATAAGCTCAGTTTGAACTTTTATCACATTCTCATTTCTGAGAACAGACATGTTATCTGCTCTTTATTTTCACTTTACATATTACTGTAGCACGGCTGTGTTGGATTAAGTCACCAAACTCCAATCGATCTGCAGAGTCCTTTTTCCACAAGAAAAAACTAAAGACCCAGCTCTTTCATGAACAAGTACACACTTACTTATATGAAGATGATATTGAAGATGTTGTTGATGTAGATTAGGTTGAATCTGGACACAGGAGGCTGTTGGTTAGCACTCACCGACGTTGTAAAATAAGCATTCATAATAATCATTTTAGTGGATTAAAAAGCACAATGTTTCCATCTGAAATGGGACACATTTGAAGTAAATAGAAGCATACATTGTAAAGTATAGCCGACTCAAAAACCTCAAATAACCACAGTATTTAAATAAATGTACTGAGTTACCTTCCCCCGCTGGTCTGTAGAAACAACTTCAGTCTCACTCACCTGTGTCCCATCACACATGAAGCTGTTTGTTAGCACTTACTGACGTTGTTTCTTCTTGTCTAGATCTAGATCTGGGTGCGTTGTACTTGCTCTTAGATGTACATCCCTTTGGACAAACATGTCTAATGAGGGAAAATGTAACATTGTAAATACACATTTTTTGGACAATGTGTAAGAAAACACATGCGAGAAGATCATCCACTTTGCATTTGAGCCCTCATGTCATTATCACAGGTATTGCACTTAGAGTCATCTTTACAAAATACAAGTATAAAAACTAGAAGACGAATATATACTGTACAGAACACTAAAAAGAAAACTTTAAGATACAATTGTAAAAAAAAAACAGGTTCTTGTACTGATCATTTTTTGCAAAGGTTTATTTTTGGGCTTTTTATGCCTTTATTTTTGAAGAGACAGGACACTGGATAGAGTCAGAAATCAGTAAGGAACCATAGGTTGGATTTGAACCTGGGCCACCCGCTTTAAGGACAATAGCCTCCATACATGGGGCGCATGCACCAGCCACTAGGCCACCGACACTCACTTGTCTTGATCATTTTGTACATCGATTATTGCACATGAGGTTTTTCACATCGGTTATTGCAAACAGAAAATCTTTCACAGTGTAGATAGTTTTCACAAGTATCTGTTACCTCTAACATGATCTAACATCAAGACCATAAAGTAGCAGCTGTACTTAGAGCATTACACTTGTCCATTACTTTGGGTTGATATGAGAAAATCAAGTTCCCTGTCCAAGATACCGTTGCTCACAGGATCTAGTTTTACTTAAAAGCAGCATCTGTTGTCAAAAATAATCTCATCCGGGGGATGATATAATATCCTGATGAATAACAATTAAAAAAAGCAAATGATGACACTTAAATTTACAGTTCAGTTTGTTCAGAGTAGTTGTTCTTTATTCCTCGGACTCATTTACATGTCTGTAGTTTGTAGTACAAGAATGAGCCGCACAGATTTCCAGTTAATGGTCCGTACATCCTTGTTGATGTGAAGTCTTATCTCTGTGTGTCTTGTGCTGATAAATGACCTACCCGTCAAAAGAGTTATCTCAGCTTGTTGTTTTACTGTCTTTGCTTGAAGGCTACTTTCATCTCCTCCCACTAAGGCCTGTTGCGCCATATTGCACCATAACTGTGATGTAAGTACAGTCGACTCGAGCAGAAGCAAGAACTACAAATTCTGGCAAAAATCCAAGCATAATTGTCTTTGGTGACTGGAAAACATGAAGATTGAATCACCCTGTGAGGCTACAGAAGCTTTTTTTGGGCCTTTGACTCATTAAATTACAGATAAACTGACTGCAAAGGTCATTCAGGACATGTTCACTGACAAAACCAGCGATTGTACGGCATGAAGGGAAGTTTGTTTGGGTTGGCAGGTGGGTTCGGAAAAGTTTGAATGCGGACTGTGTACATGGGATGATCTGGGGAAAAGGCACTGTGGGATGAAATGGGTTTTATGTGAGGAAATGAAAGGTGGTCAAGTCAGTGGTTGGAGCGGTCAGAAACCTTGGGACTTAGGTTTGTGGTTTGACCAATGATTCCTCAACTTTGTTTTTTGGAGGGAACGCAGGAAGGCCTTAGACATGGATAAGCATTAAAAGTCGATCAAATCAGTGACAGGGAGGGTGCCATGGTCCAAATTTCTTGAAGCCCTAAAAAACTACATTTGCTCCAGCTTTTTGTTTGAAATGCTAAAAAAGAGATAATATATACACTTCTTGGAGATAATTGCTTGCCTGCAAATATTTACAATGATACGAATGAAGTTAAATCTCATTTTTTAAAACCAATGAGGATGAGGTGCCTTTTAACACACTCAAAAAACATCAACAATGACCGAAACATCGGTCTAGTTACAGTATTTATGATGTATGTTTGTGAAAAGCCTTCCAAGAAAATACATTTCCTTACCACGGTGACAGACTATGAGACATTATCTGGTCGAATTGGGTGAAGAGCTTCTTGACTGCTGACTCCTGAAAAGTGACTCATCAGATATTTGTGGCGATGACAGACAAAGCATTGAAATTCTTGGGACTGAAGCTGGCCGGAGATCAGCAAATGGAAACTCCTAATGTGAATTTCTAGATAAAAAACAGTGACTGTACGAATTACTGCAGATAAAAACCACCTGCAGAAAAGACCATTATTTCCAAAACAGAGCGTATGTGGTCATTACATGGAACTGTTTAAATAATTAACTGTGCCACAGTAACGTCACAGATTAGCTGGTTGACTTCCTTTATGAAGCCTGGAGTTTGACATTTTGGCCGCCAAGTGTGTTTTCTGCAGCCAGAAGTGACCTCATGTGAAGTAGGAGTAGGAGCTGGAGAAAGGGGAGGCGGAGGGGTTGGGAAAAACCAAGGAATTAAAGCTAAAGTCTTTGTCTGTGGCTAATTCATTAGCTGGCAAACTAGCTCATTTATGCTCTTGTTATCACAAATGAAGATGCCGTTGTGGTGCCAGCTGACTGGAGTTATTCATTCTTTAGACAAACAAAATCTAAATAAAATAGCTGTGGATCATAAGAGACTTGCAGCTTGCTCACCAGCACATTGGAGAGCACGCAGTGTATGTTAACAAGAGGAGCCAGAAAACTGATCAGAACCAGACTTCTCATCACTTCAGCCTGTTGTCACCTCCGCATGGTTAAAAACAACAACAAATCCTCACCCATATGCACGGCCTGCCACAAATAAACACATGCGGGACAGACACTAAACGCATAAGACAGGGTGAGTGCAGAAACAGATAGTTGTGAAGTAGTGCATATATTGATAAAATACTAGAATCTAACTCACAAAAACCAAGAACAAAATAAAATGGAGAACAGATTTTTTGGATGACTAGCAGCAAAGCAAGCCATAAAGTTTGTCTTGTATTAGTATCAAATAAAATTCAGAAAAAGAAACAACAACAAAGCAATGGCCAGTTTGAGGAAATGCTGTGACACCTAGCAGATCGTTATCAGCACCACTAATTCTGCATTACTGAAAGGCATTATACCTTAAATGTTTTTTCATATTATTGAAATTCGAGCCTTGATCAGTTGCAATGAATAAAAACTAAAGCGTTGACACCAATTTTTTATTTTTTTTACCAAGCATAAACATGTTTAATTTAGCTGTAAAGTCAGGGGTTTTAACATTGGCTTTAATGAGGATTAACTCAGTTTTGGACGACCTGCCGTGGCCACATCAGGTTTTTTCCACACTTCTGCAGCCAATTTTGGCTTGAGTGCTTTTAAAGTTTTACTTGTGACTGTGGTCCTCTCTTTCTCTCCCTGATTTCCGACTCTATCCACTGTCCTATCTCTCCATAAAAGGCACAAAACTCCTCCTATTTTCAGTAAGAGAGGTGAACGCAAAGAGCCAAAGTTCACAGTGACTTCATCCAGAGTTTCTCTTTCCAGACCCCCAGATTTTTTTCCCGCTGAAAGTCCAAGTGAGCTGATGTGAGAAAGCAGAGTTCTTTCAGTTCAGGAGTTGGCCTGAAATTCTCAAGAAGTTTTCAGGCGTGCATTTGTGAAAACGACTTTAATCACACAATT